CACTGCGCAAGACTTGTGGGACCCGATAAGTCGTAGACAGTGACCATAATGTATAGTAAACTAGACAAATCGATTAATAAACCATAAGAATTAACTAGCCAAGATCGATATTTACAAGCCCACTATCCATGTTATATAGAATACCTGTAAATATATCTGATAAGTAGACATTACCATTTACATTAGCTTGTCTTCTTTTGCAATATAGTTTAAGTGACCATGGGTTAGGAGCGCAAATTGGTAGCTGAGAAAAATCTAATAAATGATTATTATTCACAAAAAATTGTATCTCCGTAAAGTCAAGTAAACTGATAGGATATAGATTTTGTCAATAAGCTACAGTTGAGTAAAATTTTATTTAAAAACTCATTCTATTTGACTTCATACATATTTTGTAGTCAGTATGTGTTATAATAGGAAGTATCATAAACTCTAAATTTCACACAATTAAGAACAAATCTAATCGCACTGTATGGAAAAAGGTCCCAACCACTGAAGAACTATCAGTACCCTCCACTTTCTAAACGATGACTGACAACAAGCATGAAACCTTGGCTGCCTGTTGGTTAGCATTCATATTGTCTTATATTTCATACAGAATGATTGTATGGAGAAGAAATATTTGTCACTTTCAAACTGAGAAATAAATAGTTTGGCTTTATAAACAGACTAGTAATTTTCAATACAAATTGGTTACTAGCAAATAATACTCTCCAATTGTTTTATAAGCAAAGATGGACGATGACTAGAAGTGGAATCCCGCACGCGTGTCTCGTCTTATTTGGGACTCGTCAGCTGGATGTATCTGCACATCCCAGAGTTTATGTATACTTCAGGACCCGAACGCAGTACCGTTCACAACACCCCCGCCACGAGAATACAGTGAGTAGGACTTCTCTGGCAGAGGCTATATACACGTGGCCATGTGAGAGCATTTCGAGAGGGAGAGCGGACTCTCCCCACTCTCGGCCGTACCAGGACATTTGTAATGATTAAAATGTTTCACTTATCCTGTAAATGATAATCTATTCTAAATAGTTGAAAAGCACTTTTCATCAACAGTTATATTAGATTAAATGTAGGCAGCATATTTAATATCAGAATATAATAGTACATGTGAAAATTTACCTGTGTTCTATTTATAGTTTCTTCAATTTAATTACTAAGATATTCAAATGTTAGAAACTATATCATTAGTATATTAGTGTTTAGTAATAATAAAGTAAGCAACACTTATTCAACGTTCAATCTACTATAGTGGCATTTATCAATTTTGACAATTGACCTAGAAAATCAACTTTCATAAACTTTAAATCAGTGAGCAAATCAATCATTACGCAATCAAGAATTGTGACCTATAAATGATTTCATAACTGATTGTCAAAATTTAATTTCAACTTGTCAAACTTATTGATGGTACATCGCATTCCATAAATTTCATCAAACTAATAATTTGTGAAACTAGAATGATTGATATAGTGAATAAAAGATTGTAAACAAATCAATACCAGTTCATCTAATATTCAGTCAGTCAGCTACAACGTAGGATCAGGCACATATATGCATCGGTCCAAGTTACCATACCTCGTTAGCACAACAAGATGAACACCGGATTCATAGTAGTAGTTCATTTAGTGGTGGTAATATATAAAATAAAGGTTGTATATAAGAATATCGTTTAGGAAGAAAGAAAGTTATGAAGTAATTTTAATCTCAGGGTTTAAGGGGAGATAAGGAGTGTATACACTTAGGCCATTGTGATCGATTCTGAGCCATATCACACACAGTCTCCAACCATTGGTTACGATCGTCACGTGGACCCCAACCAGGTAGTCTGTATCTGCCAACATGGCTCAGACTAGAAGTTAGTGACTTCAAGCACTGATGCCACATTTTGGTTTGGCTGCCCCCAACTGTCTTCCAACCATTCCCTACACTAGTCAGCATAGCGCGTCGTGGTAATCGATGTCCAGGCATACATAACACGTGGCCCAACCATCTCAGTCGATGAAGGTTCATGACCTCACCAACTGATTCACCATCATTCCCTAATGCCCGGTGTCTAACCTCACTATTACTTACCCGGTCATTCCAGCAGATGCGAGCAATATTTCTAAGGCATCTGTGGTCAAATACTAGTAACTAACGAGTATTTTCTACTCTTAATGGCCATTTTTCATCTAATATTAAACCATAAAAAATTTTTCTTCTATGATGAAAATAAAACGATGGAATTGGTTGAGCAGGGTGATTACTTGATTCGATATGATTGTTATAGTAGAGTGATGAATACTTACGAAGACCGACTCATTAACCCAAGAGCTCAAAGAATGAATATCAAACAATAGATTAACGGTTCAGAAAAAGAAAGTGGTTTTAAGTAGCATATGACAGAATTCATATTTGATAAGTCATTATTAGAGAACTTATTATATGACTCAGTTATTGCCTCTACATTAGGTCGCCAATCAGTATAAAAATCATTGTGCTAATTTCCCTTTTCAGAAAAACCTAAATATTTGATAATGTCTAGAAAATACTGTGCTCATACATCAATCAATGCATTTTAAATTTTAAGACGAATGAGGTCACTTTACATGAGTACGAAGTAGTTTCTTGATACACACAACACTGATATACTAAACACCTAAAATAAATAACATTTAGTGAATTGAAGGCGAAATCTGAGTATGTACTTTATAGATTACAGCTTCGTCTATATGATGCAATAATAGTTCGGCTTCACACCGAATTCGCTAACATAGCATCACAATTAATTATGGAGAGAACGGATAGAGAAGTCTTGGTTCATACAACTAAGTAATCGAAAGAAGAATCAGAAAACAAAATTGCATCCTTGGATGCCTCAATAAGTAAAGTTAGTGAAAGAACGAAAAGCTAAGTTACACAACAAATATCAGATTGTAACAGTAACAACCTACGGTGAAAACCAGAAGAGTTGTTCATAGATACTATTCAGAAGCTTTAGGACCCACCACAGCACTCGCCATTGAAAACAAACCCATCTTTTATCTGTCTCCAGTAAGAATGTCCACCCTAACAATTTCATTAAGATTTATCTTGTAATTCGACCTCCTCTAGTAAAACTAACCTCTCGAAGTTGACTTTTTCTCACACATATTGAGAATACTCTCATCGCTACACAGAGTATGAATTAAGAATCTGGATTATTTTTAAAACGTAGACCGACTACTGATTTAATATTAGTAGACTGAAACTTTCAATGAAATCGTAGTGCTCTTTGGATCGGTATCCATTTTGATGAATTTATCCAAAATAATTCGCTGGAATACCAACAGTGGAGAGCGTAACATTTACAAAACTTTTGTATTGTCAGAACATTGGTGTATGGTGGTCAATGAATGGAGAACACATATCTACACAAACTAGATAGCAACGATTAAGTTGGAAGAAGTTAGTCCGGATCTTAAATACTTAGTGATTGTTCTACGATAATCGATGCCTTATTAATTTTACTACTTCTTCAAGCCTCAATATCGAACTTTTCCAGTGGCAAAATTTGATGGAAAAATGTAGCAGAAAACATGGGGTTACTTCTTTCTTCATATAATTGAATCATTTGAGAAATCTTTGATTGTCAGACTCCAGTGTTCTGCTAAGAATATCTATGATCTCACTTTTAATAAGATTTCTATGATTGACCAAGTAATCGAGACAGATATCTATCTGAAATCGAAAGTCGTATCACATGCTATGTCACCATTTAACTTATTAGAATATAGAAACCCCTTTAGTTAAAAACAGTTAGCATGTACTCAAGAGGAAGAAGTACTTAAAGAGGGTTCAACGATGTACCACCACGAGAATACTGCACCACTTTACTTTTTAAATAGATTGGTTGTAGATTTGACTAGGGGAACAATGAATATTCTGAACACCACTGACCATAACTTTCAGGTAGTACGACTTGCAAGAGTTGAACTTCATTGATCGAATAGTAAGTGGTCTACAAACTGATTTCCTCCAACCACCTACGTCATCTTACTTCTCGTATTAATATTTTGTACATAGGTACGTCATCTTATTAAATCAAAAAGATCCTTCATGGTGGTTCCTTTTATTTGATCTCAAATTATTCAATAATTTGGTCTTGTGAACAACCATCACTCAGTCACATTATAAAGCTGCATATCATCAATCGAAGCTTTATTTGGATATGTAGATAGCAAAGTCCTGTTTTATGAGACAGTCCAAAGACCCCTAATATCATTAAGTGACAAAACAACAATGTTTAGGATTTGTTTCGGTCTCTTTAAACGCAAATTGCTATTTCACGATTAGACAGTACTTGTGCATAACCTAACCACAGGAAGTGAAGTAATTCGGTTACGTAACCACTATACGGCTAATACCTGACCCAAAAAAGTACATAACAGTACCCAATTATAAAACCCTTCGAGGCATTACTCGCAGATGATGGGATCACCAATTGATTAATAGTGAGATTCACGAGGTTGTGTACGTTCATAGAACGAGGCAATTGTAACATAGTACTTAATACCAGCCACCGCCTATCCCTATCTTCAGACTTCTTGGTATGAGAAAAAAGTAGTGACCAAACTAAGACTTAGCATCAGTAGATGAATCCACTGATTGTTAGACTGAAGCCTGTCGAGAGGTTAACGCCAGAATGGTGGTATTAATTAACTGTTCGATGATATAGCATACAATCGGTTGGATCAGTACAGATCCACACATTCTTTATATGCTCCTACATCGTGAATTATAATATCATTTCACATTTTATGCCCACCAAATCATTCCTACTTTTCTGAATTATATTTTCTTTGTTTAGTCTTTTTCATAATAAAATATACTAACATTACTTCTACTACTATGCCATTTATCCTATTAACTTTGCCAAGCTATGCTAATGTAAAATGTGGTAGCTTGGAGCAATACAAATTGACCCAGATCCTATGTTTTGATTGAATTTATTAAAGCATATGGATCCATACGGATTCTTTAGGTGAAACGAAAATCCATCACAAACGATATAATTAAGAACGGTTTTATTAGTAAATAAAGTGGAAACAGTTTAATTCCTGCATAATAAAGTATTCCAGTTGATTTTGCTCACATTAGGCACATAGCGTATAGTTACTGAAACACGTTTACCACGATGACATAACTGTGACTGAATATCTCCCAAACTGTTCGCAGTCCAATTATGAATAACAACAGCATTTTCAACCGATTCTTCAGAACGTTTCAAGCAGTCTTCATAATTTAGTAATAAGTCAGTTGTACGTTCAGCAATCCCATGCATATAATGTGTATACATTTTATCGGCAACAATATTTAAGCTACGAGCTTTTAGATAAACTGAGCCAATATAACGATCATTAAATAACGTTGATTTTGTTTGCTATAGAAAGATAAGATTATACTAACATAAATAATTACTGGATTTGAAGAAGTATCCAACGGCTCATAAAAGTCCAGAATCCCATAAGAATTAAGATTGATTGTAGCAACAACAGGATAGTAAAGTGGTCCATCATGATGAGGCTATTGGAATTAATTTTAAAAATATGAAAAATTAAACTCAATACAATAGAAGTAATATCAGTAACTTTGTAGACGTTGATTTACTAGAGTGAGTTTCACCTTCGGAACAAAAACAAAGAAATTTAATCAGGTTGAACATAATGATAGTGTGAAGTTTAACTAGTACCCAAGAAAAATTCATAATCCTACTTTGCTGAGCATAATTATAACTTAACAGTGGCCAAAATCGTATGACAGAAATTGAGTAGCTGATTACTAGGTCGGAAATATGCTATACAATGTAACATTGAGTCCATCAATTGAGTTTATGCACTCTTAGAAATGGATATCACGTTCCGTGACATAGGCTACTTCTTTAAAGTAAGTGACTGAATTAAAATTAAGCTTAAAGTTGCGTTATACTTATTGGGATATTACAAAAACATTATTATGCATACACATTGGATATATTCGTCTACGTATTTATTTAGCCTATCCATTGTTTATTTGGTCTTGAAAACTAAATCACTAATATGCCGATTGATTTTTCAACCAATCCAAATACCGTAAAATCCAGCGCGCAAGTTAAAATCTGTATACTGTATGATTCATCGACATTTATCTTCGTTGCCGATCAGTGTGTGAGAATTATTTATTTATTATTATTTATTTAAACACATAAATATTGGTACAAGGAAGCACCAGATACATGTGCGCCATACAAATCTCATTTAATTTGTGTGAGGGCTGTGATACTGCCCAGGTGCCCAAACCGAAGCAGGTGGTTTCTTAGGGGCCCACACAAGGAGTCTTCGACCTAAAGGTCTGATCCACAAGGCAGTGGAGCATAGCGAGGAGGTGCAGTCCCATGGGAGCCGGTGACCAACGATTGGTTCATACGCCATTTGTTCCTTCAGGGTACTGGAGCTCATGTGCACCATTGGTTTGGAATCAGGGTTTTCCAACTCCCCTAGGTGGACCCTCCGTGTCCACCAGCCCGGTTAAAGCGCCGGACATTTACTTTTCGTCCTCTCAATTTCGTAAACAACACCCCCGCCACGAGAAGGCAATGAGTAGGACTTCCCTGTCATAGGCTGTATAAGCGTGGCCATGTGAGAGCATTTCGAGAGGGAGAGCGGACTCTCCCTACTCTCGGCCGTACCAGGGCATTTGGGGGCAAAGTGTGAGAAGTATGAAATACCCAACGCATTCCGTATTGGATTGCTAAAATCATGTTATTAGTTGAACTTGCTATACAACAGGGTAAGTCTAAGGATAAATATGAAACTGAGCCAGAATCTAGAACGACTAGAGTCAGATATGTTTACATATGCTATGTCATTTTACCCAGATACACCCAAGAATAACATTTATTAGGCCATATGATAGAAGAACAGGAAAAATTAGAGTTCATTACCTGAATAGCTATATATAAGATTATGCGATTTGAGCTAATCCGGCTTACAATCATTTAGGAACAGCCTTCATGATATTTAGTAAAATTCTATGTTAAATATGCTGTTTTGTAAGTCAACTATATATTGGCGTTGTGGTGTCAAACATTGTCTCTTAGAATTAAAAAACATGAACCAGACAACTAAAATCTCATTTATTTTGGTTAATATTAAAATGCTACATTATATATCTCGAGGAATAAAATCATTACGTTACTTATATTGATATTAAAAAAAAGAAACAAAAAGGTATAAGATTTCGAGATCCAATAACAAAGGGAAGAGAAAAAGTAAATGTTCTTATGCCATTGTGAACAATTCAGGGTCATATCATTCAAAGTTTCTGACCACTGATTACGATAATTGAGCGGACTCCAACCATGTAATCTACACCTATTTACATGGGTCACTCCAGCAGTCAAATACTTTACGGACCAATAGTACGTCTTTTGACGGCGAAAACATTTCTCCCATATAATACAATGTCGCCCGTCGATGTGGTTGGTGGTCGGGCATACATAACACATGTAACACCTAACCACTTCAGTTGATGAAGATGCATCTCGTCTATGCCACAGGTGGAGCAATTTGGCAAAAGGCAACTGAGCTGACTAAATACGTGTCAAGATTTCATCTTATAGCAATGGCACATGGTAAGTGAACGCTTGAAAGGTAAATAATGAATGAGGTTGCCATTATGTGATTAATTCCGATCAATATTAGGCCTTATATAATCAAGAAGACAAATGAGATAACATTTACAGAGGATTTTAGAGGAAACAATTAAAATCAATGATGAACGTAATTTCCATGTTTTAATAATCAGATTAAGTAGAAACGTTCACTTACAAATATACCTTGTCCTGATTCATATTCATTCACCAAAACATGATTCGCCTTATTATTACTGTTGTTACTATCAAATAAACACAATTCAGAAACACGATCCATGTACTTCTGTAACCACTAAACAGACTAAATTGTTAACTCTTTCATATTAATTTAAAAAACCTGTGGAACTTTTTCAGTCAACATTCCTTTAACATGAGGAATACCACCCCAATTTTGTAAACGTCTACCACGTAGAGAAACCCACTTTGGTAATGGGGCAGAATAAATATATTTTAGTAGTTCCTGTTCTTCTTCTTCATTTATAAAATCTGGTAGATAAAGAACATTTGGTGGTAATGTTTTGACGCAGTAACTGTCTAATAATTTTAACATAACTACCTATATTCAATAAAAATGAGATAAAAATGAATTTGCTGAAATTAACAGAACATTAAGTAAAATAACATGGATTTTATAAAACCCAGTGGTTAACCTAAGAGTTAAAAATATCTAGTAGGTACAAGTATCAAAGAAGACAAATAGCAGGTTAAAATGAAAGGTGAAAAATAAACTAAGCAATAATTGGCAGAATAGCAACTCGATCATATTATATCATATTAGAAACTGAAGGCGTAGTACATCATTCAATGATTAAATGCCATGAAATCATTCTTTAAGATATGGTAACTCATTAGTCTTAGATTCCGATAATTTTTAAAACTAAAAGACAATCTCTACATTTTGAAAAACATCGGTTTTCATGAAATATCTTATAAAATATCTTGAAAATAAATATATTGAAGGTATATCTTTAATATACGTTGAGGCTTTCGAATCGTATTACATAAAATTCCACTGTATGCTGGAATCTCGATAAATTAGGGGAAGTTGCAGACGGCAGCAGTGAATTCCGACTTCTTTAGTTTACATAATCTAAATCACAACTTTGCTGAAATTTTGTGAACCCTGCTTAGGAACGTTACAGCACCTTCGGATGTGAATTACTAGCTATATATTTAGCAGTGAAACATTTCACCTTCCTGTTACAAGGACTGATCGTAAATCCTTATGCTATTCTCTCAGCACGTCATACGACGGACATTCACCATATGAAGCACGATAACTGAATTACATTTCACAATTCACAACAGACATCCAGTTCATTGAAGGATATCGCAACATCGTAGCAGACGCCTTATCTAAAAATGTTATCAACATGCTGGTACATAAACACGTTATCAGCCTCGAAACTGTATCTAAACTACAAGTAGACGATACAGACCTGAAAACAGGTCCCGCCATTACTGTCTAGCTGCTACGTTTCCCGAACTCACAAGTTGGTATGAAGGTGCACGGTTGTGCGCAACACCGTGCTTTAGTACCAAACTTTTAGCGATAGCAGCAGATCCCAGAGGTTTGCTTAGGCACTCGAGAGCGCTGCCTTGGAAATGATATTTGCCTGGATTGTAATCTGCGTCGACTGGTTTGTACTGTCGCAATCGTCATTTTTAATGCTGTTAGTTGGTTTGGCAGTTGGCTATTGTTGTAACATGGCTGTGCTACCTGTATCCGTTTATCAAGCAGTGGCGAGACTAAACTATATGGACGAGCCAATCAGAAGCTTTCGCGGGTTTTCAAGGTCACGGCGCTAAGTTCGGTACCTGATGCTTACGTACGGTCGGGTTACAACGGATTTTAAAGAAGACGTGATAATTTAGCGTCTAAAAGAGAAATAATCATAAGATTTTAGCGCGAAATTCAATTATCCATAGCCACATGAATGAGTTCCTGTACCGTATGCACTATGATTTTAGAACTTCTGAACCTATATCTAACCTTGATAAGTTTTTGAGTCATGTAAAAGAACAGTATCCCCTTTGATTTTTGAGTTTTGTAAAATATATTTTACTGTATACTAACTGTCTTCCGATTGGCTAATATTTCTCAAGGTTATTTAATATCCGTTCAAAGATCGACCATACAGTTTGGTCTCGCCGCTTTTATTCCATCATATGATTTGTCCTCCGGCACTTGACCAAATAAATACCCGACTTTGGCAGCAATTTCGATGGGGAGTGCACCCACTACGCAAGCATATTTCGTCGCCCGTGAGCGGATTCCTCTAGCTAAAAAAAGGCCTCTATTTGAGCAGACCAGACTCTTGAGTTACTGGCTTCGTATGTTCGGAGTCTGAATTTGGAATTAGCATTAACTCGACCAAGGATAGGGTCAGCCGAGTTTGGTGATGCTTTAAAGACGTTTACTGGAGGACCTTCTATATCGTTAAATTTACTTGGAGTACATTGTATAAAAAATAAACTAACGGGTCAGGTAAAGTATACCACGTAGCAAATAGAATAAACACTGCGCTCATCAGATAATTGCGGTGGACCGAAAACTATATAAACTGAAAAGTGACAATAAAGTTATTACTTCCAAATATTAATGTTATAATATTACCAATTACCATTTATAAACACAAAGAAAAGTTAGGAGACGTTACTTAGATCAGAAAATTTTGGCGTGACCGAGCTGCATACGGCACCATAATCCACAATAAAAGATTATTAATAATTCCAATGAGGTTGTTGTAACCTCATTATTATAGCCAGATGTAGTACATTATGATAATATGACTATAGACTATAAATGTGAATAATATATATTTTATAGTTCAATTATCATAACAACAGGTAATTGAAAACGAGAGACGTGTGGACTATTTACAAGCTATTAGCAATGCGTATCAGGGCACGGTAAATTGGTCAGGGCATTTCAAGGTCGCCCGCCGTTTCGTTTTAATGACCTTGAACGGCCTGTTAAAAAGACATTGTGGTGGACATAAGCGAGGCGTTTCAACGCATGTTACTGAATAGGCGTTTCGGAAACTAGATTGAATTCGATAGTTCATTAAAGGAGTTCGAAAAAGTATGGAAGAGTTCAAGGTCATACACGATAGCCTGTTAAGCGTAGATTTCTCCTATTCCGTCCTCAACCACTTGAACCATTTGAATTTCTAACAACCTTTACAATCATTTGTGGTAAATAAACGAACTATGAGAATTATTAAAGGAAATGAAAATAATGCCAAAAAATAGTTACAAAATAATTTTTTGCCCTTCTTCAAATGTACTGAGGATACAACGGATATTCTAGTTTTGCAACTAGCAACCAGTAGTATCTTCTATAATCGATCGTTCCCAGTCAAACAGAAACCAGAAGTCAGACGAGAAGAGACAGGAAAGATATATTTGATTCGTTACCAATATATCGAGAGACTTCGTTCTTAACTGTCTATTGTAACGTAGGGGATGTGTCCCACACCGTGTTGCAACGTGATCTGGTGCAGATGCATGACCGAAAGCCTTCAGCTAAACAAGTTCACTTAAACAACGTGGTCAGCATCCAATGTCGAACACTTAATGAGCTATTGATTTTGGGGAATTATTTACAGCTACAGTACATACCAACGTTACTGCAATTTGTTATCACACGCATTGTGTAACATCACCTTTTGTAACTCTGGCTCATTTAATGCTTTTAGGGACATTTGCTGCATGTATTCAGTCAGCGAAACGTATTAAGCTGGTATGATAATTAGAAGTATTTGAATTGTAGTATGAACTAGTAATCCCAGGAATAACGCAATTTAATCAAGAAGTATCAGATGAACTCGAACGAATGTATTGTATTTGGAATTCAAAATTACAACAGTCATCAATACTAAGAAGTCATTGATTTATTTAAACACCACAGCTGGTTTTAAATGTTTTATTATATTAAACAAAATTTCTTCACTGGAGTGTCTTTGTAGACCCATTTCATTGGAACCATTTTTATATTAACTTAATATTGCTTGCATTTCAAACTAGCATTTTAGCATTCTAAGAACAATAACTATGGGGAAGCATGGACATATTATAAGATATTGCGAGTGTTCACAATGTGTGACTATTTTGATGTCACTGCGTATCCATACATCGTCTTTCGGGAAATGTTTACTAAGTTGTTTGTTGTTAAAGAGTTTTGCAAGCCAATTGTGTTACTGGTATTCTGTAGTGCCATATTTATAAAGCAAGCAGTAAGGGACGAGTATCCTAATGGAGTTGAATTCGAAAAATGACACGATTACAGGTGTGAATTGTCAGAAAAGAAATTTTGAGTTTTTGAGTTTTCTCTCAAAATAATCAAGACATTTCGAAAAATTTTCAATGAAGATATTGGCCCAATCTATATTTCGGTGAACTTTTTTTACGTTTTAGGAAAATTTCAGGGAAACTGTCTCAGAAACTTTTAAGTAAATGGCACAGAAACCCCTAAATATCTTCATATCTGAAGAAATTACCAAAATTCTGAGGAGTTCCACAATATTTCCCAACTCTGAGTAAAACAGCCGATTGTCATTGAACTTTGGGGAAAACTTCTACATTCCTCCGAAATCGGGAGATTTAGGTGATTACTTTAATACTAGGGGAATATTAGAAAAGACCGTAAAATCTACACTTTGAGGATCTTGGGGAAATTCCCAGGCCAAGGAAAATTTCACTTGCATTTTCTCGGAGGGTTTTAGTGGGATTTTGACGAATTCTTGAAATCCTCTCTAATTCTGGGGAAACGGATATATCGAAGAGACCGGAATTTATTACCGTTTGTGATTCTCCCTCAAGATTTTTCAACATAATTTAAACTTTATAAAATAGATCCGCGCACCTCTACATTAGTACAAACTTCAGCATTATATTATATGCATTATATAGTGTAAGATCAACCACGTTGATTTTCTATGTCGAAATGATTGGGGGCCTACTATAGTTAGACGAGAATGGGGACGAACCAACTAACGCTGAAGTCACACCTCGTGACCAGCCCTTACGTGGATTGAACAATCGACGCATCAAAGGATAATAGATGCTATGGAGACTGTACAACACAAAGGACGTTATTACAAGAATATATTAGTTAAGGTACAACTACGGAAGTACAGAAGTGAAAGAATAACCAGTGCAGCATGGGCCAGTCCATGGCGTATGATTGGTTTATGCGCGTTGACTATCCTTGACCTTGACAGGGATCAGTGATCTGTTCGATATTCAGTGACCCTACAATACTCCCGCACCAGATTCAACGGCCGTTTGAATCGATATCAAACATGTTGGGAGTAGTCGCGCACCGGAGGTTGCCAGACGATTATTATGAATCCTCCGGGTATTGCCGAGCTGTAAAAGAAATGGAAAGGAGGCTGCAGAAACTGATCGGGAAACAACGAGTAATAACACGTAACAAGGACGTTGGTTGAATGTTAAGCGATCAACCATAGAAATAATAGAAAAAGAAACATTTTGGAGTTTTATCAAGTCGCGTTGAAAAATATAGCTCTGACAAGTGGTTGAGTTCCTTAGATGAGAAAACGTAAGCTTGCCGCAAGAGTAGTGATAGTACGATAAGTGTATTATCAATTGGTGCCGATGTTTGTACTGCCCTTGTTACAAAGTAGAAAGTCAGTAAGTGTCGCTGACAACTTTTCGTAAGCGTCGATTTCTAGTTATATCTATATTTAACAGACTAACTGTAAGTACAGAAGTATAACCGCGAAGATAAGCCGTGGTTTCCTTGTGCAAAGCTTCTGATCAACTTGCAGCCAGTTTGGAAAAACTGATAACTGCTGTGAAAATCAATAAGGGTCGAAGAAATACAGATCGAGAGCGAAAGGTGGCACGATGAAATCTCTGAAAGATGATAAACGGTTGGTGCTGCACATATGTTTAATGAGTGAACCGAAAAATGTCGAAAAGAACATAAGAAACCAAGAGTGTCACTCTGGACTCATATCAATGATATCGGTGAAAAATGCTGTCAGTGTTGGGGTCGAGACGACAATATCGTTGTCAGTTTGCAGGAGATGCGCTCGACTGCGTAAACCGATAATTCGCGTGAATGAGTGTCGTCAAACCACCAATTGAACTGGACAGGCTTTAGATCGTCGAGTAGTTGAACAGCTGATTAATGTACCGAAATCATCTATTAGATAACAGCCACGCGGAAACAATACTTCATAATATGAAAAAAATACGACGTCGAAGTTGAATAACTACAATAGTTCGGATGTGTTGTAATGTCACATCGAAGTAACATCATTTCCTATACTGACAATTGTACTGAACGTTCGTTTGGGCATTGTTTATGTAGCAATTGGATGTGCAGTAGCAAACATATGCGAAGACTATCGTGGGGTTTGTGGAGAATTTCAGAAGACGTTTAGATATTTTCCAAACCCGTATTGCATGTGAATAAGCCGAAGACGGAATTGAAGTGACTTTCGTACAATAAGGAAATCGAGCCATGATTTACTGTGTGAGATAACAGCAAATACAAAGCGCATAGTAAACAATGATTTAAATGGTAACCACCAATGTAATTAAAGTTTAGGTTTAGATAACGTGATCGTTTCGTAAAAAAAGCATATTATCTAGCTCTAAGTGACATCAAGTACGACGAAGTGTCTCATTAAGACATGGACTAAGATTGCTCGTGTACATGAAATACGTTTTTTCGGAGTATGTTGACTTACGAGTCATAAATGTAAGTAGTTTCGACTAAAATTTGATGGCAGGGACAGAATGTATGTCTAAGTGAATGTAGCCGCGGAATGTTATTAGACATCATAAACATTATACGAAATTATTTAAGTTATGAAACTCGCCTGGGTTACTCTTGCTCCAAAGTAATTGAACTTTGTTGATTAAATTCGTAGATTGGCGAAGCGTTGTAGACTGAATTGGTATACGTCCAAATTTAATCTGAGCCAAAACGAAGCATTGCCTGGTGAAATAGTCTAAACAAGATATAACATTGCAGGAAATTTATAGTTCAAACTCACCGTAAATTTCTAGCACTCGTATCCTCTGATTCGCCATGGAACTCAGCAATTGGAAATTAGGCAGGCAGTGGTCAAGAAAGTAAAATATTCTTGTAGGTAGTTTCTGATAGTAGTTAGTTGATAGTGATTAAGCAGAAAGATGAATTTATAATCGACAGTTAATCCTCTATTGGTTATACAAGTGAATAAGTTGCAAACAGATATCCGTTCGTGTTGCCTTGAGTCTATACTTACGAGTGGTTGATATTTTAACAGACATATTAAACAGGAGCATTTACATGAAGCTAATGCTTGTTAAGCAACCACGATGACCGATTATAGTCGTAGTTGATTGGTTAGTTCTATCGATTGAACTAATTATTTCAGTTGAAATACTAATCAACATTGATATAAAGCAACGAATGTTCACAGAAACTGATAAATATAGCCGAAGTTAAAAATGAAAATAATAAGTATAAAATGCAATAAGAAAGATCATAATGATAGGTTGCGTTATTCGAAGTCTTGCTCACCAGTGTAAGATCAACCACGTTGATTTTCTATGTCGAAATGATTGGGGGCCTACTATAGTTAGACGAGAATGGGGACGAACCAACTAACGCTGAAGTCACACCTCGTGACCAGCCCTTACGTGGATTGAACAATCGACGCATCAAAGGATAATAGATGCTATGGAGACTGTACAACACAAAGGACGTTATTACAAGAATATATTAGTTAAGGTACAACTACGGAAGTACAGAAGTGAAAGAATAACCAGTGCAGCATGGGCCAGTCCATGGCGTATGATTGGTTTATGCGCGTTGACTATCCTTGACCTTGACAGGGATCAGTGATCTGTTCGATATTCAGTGACCCTACAATAGGCTGCTCACCAGCATTTCTCATCGAACTCTCTTCTGAGCAATCCTTCTCAATTGTTCACAGTTGCTATACGTTCTTCTAATG